ATACAGGATATTCAGTGTGCCGTACCTTTTGGCCGTATTGGATAACCTTTGCTGTTCATGCTTGAGTTATAAGCCCCAAGATATGCCTTCTCCTCCGTTTAATTACAGTTTATCGTAATTACAGAGGATGCCTGTAAGAGGCCTTGAACTGTCAGAACGAGCTCATTGCCTTTTCAATAACCTGCATAATAAGTGACTGCCGCCCATGTTTGTCTTTGCATGTTGCAGAGATTAAACTGACAGAAGAAATGTGATGTCTGCCACTGAATAAGTGCAATTTATCATCTGTGATGTTACAAGTGTGATTTGTTGAAACCTTTAAATTATAAGTGTGCATTACTCATAATCTAAAATGTGTGCTGCTTTAGAGATCTAAAAGCTTTAGCTCAGTGAAATAATCACTGTTAAAGCTGCAAAGGGCATTCACAATTAGTAGGCAGTCTTGTAAAAATGAGCTGTTTTACAGATAATCTTTCATCTTTTGTAAACATTAAAAAAGCTCTCCCCGGATTTTGACATAAGGTTGGAATTTTTCCCCGTCTTAAAAGAGAAGCTTCCACTCATTGTAAACAATTTTTATTTTAGTGGCTTTCATGTTAGGGCCACACGATGATTAACATCGTGCCTCACAGCGCTGGGGCCTGGGTTCGATTCGTGGGTTGCTGTCTGCGGGAGGTTTTGTATGTTCTCCCCGTGTTCATGTGGGTTTGTTTCCACGGTGGTCTAGACATGCTGGCAGGTTAATCGCCTACTGGGAAAAGTGGCCCTGGTGTGAGTGTGTGCGTCTCAGCCCTCTGATAGACTGGCGTTTTAGTTTTCGAAGGAATAAAAAAGCAGTTTTATAAACCTAGATGGTATTAAGTCTCAGTGTTCCTTAAAGGAACAGTTTAATTTCAGTTAGCGTAACGTACACAATGGCATGAATGTTATTGAATACCTACTCATGCCTTACAGGAGAGGCAGTTAGTCATCACATGAGAGGTCTGTGGCTGACCTTATGTGAAAGAAATGAGTCTGGGCCAGATCAGTTTGACTTCATCACAGCTGTGCAAGAGCAGGCCGTTAACATCTACGCTACTCCTGCTAGGTGTGAGAAAATGTACAAGGAAGTCTGTTCAGCTGCATCTTGAAGGGCAAGTTGACTTGTGCCATTCTGAAGCTGCCTGAAAACTCGGCGCCAGCAAACCAGCAAGATTCTTTGCTGCTGTTGTTCAAGACCCGTTGTGTCTTGTATTCGGTGACTCCTGCTGGATTTTAGAAGTTATGCATTTACTGTGTGTCAAGTATTTCCAACAGTAAGTATTGCCAGTAGAATATCAGCAGTGAGGAATCGCACTGATCGACGGGATCACTGATGTTCAGATACCAGCGAGGCTGGGATGGGCGCTCCTAACACAGAGACCAGGTGTGCTGTGGAAGTCGAGGTGAGGGCAGGCTCGAACCTGGGTCCCAGAAACCAGCAGAAGCCCAGAAAGAGCTGATGTCAAACAGCCTCTCACTTCCTCTAACGGGACATAACCCCCAGGAACAGCTCAAACACGACACAACCCCCCTCCCACCTTAAAATGTCAACTACTTTGTATGCAACTGCTTTTTTATTGTCCGGATTTTTCCAGGTTCCGTATTTTTATTGGGTTTTCTGTCATACTTTGGCCCGGGGCGGTGTTCAGCACCGGGCGCTCGGGGCCTCACCCGCCTCTCTGTCGGTCTTTCCTCTGGCAGCACGTGTGGAGTGAGAGTGAGGACTGCCTGCCCTTCCTGCAGCTGGCCCAGGACTACATCTCCTCCTGCGGCAGGAAGACCCTCCTGGAGATCCTGGACAAGGTCTTCCGCTCCTTCCGGCCTGTAAGTGCTCGTCCTGCCGGCCCCCGGAGCTTTCTGCTTCGGCCGCCGTGCCCCTCCGGCGGGTCTGTCTGTCCGTGGTTGCCCGGCGCCGCGCGGAAGGGTGTTGGCGTGGCGGCGCGGTCTTGCGCCTGACTGACTGCGAGCTGGGAGACGGCGGAGTACGCCGCGGGATCAGTGAGCTCCACATCGGACAGCGCTGAGGCCCCTCCCTGTGTCACCCAGCAGGACAGCCAGCATCTAGAACAGAGCAGTGCAGAAGAGCTTTCAGTCTTGCCCTTCAGTTTTGTTTTTTGTGTTATTACAGCTTATTGGCTATAAACTTTACTTGAGGTGTCGCCTCCAAAGCAGCAGCAGCTGAAAAATGATCTTTTAGAAATCGGGGCACGTGGAAATTGAGTTCCAGTTCATTAACCTTGATTCTGTGTGATCCGTTTCAAAATTTCATGCAGGTTTTGAAGGTGTAAATGTAAAATTATCATGCTCAGGCTGTAGTGCAGGAATATGTATGTATACCTCATTTTTCAAATGCCGGACCTCGCCTGACGCGTAGGGGTGGTGTGGATAATAGGGATTTTGAGTGAATGTTGTTATAGGTTAAGAGGAGTAGGTTAAAGAACAGTCTCGGTATCAAGAGAGCAGAACAGAAAAAATCCAATTCATCCATACGTTCTGGGTGTCAGGGCTATCTACAGCTGCCATCTAAGCCATACTGAGGTGACTCAGATGTCTTCTGCCACAAAGAGAAGGCTGTACAGGCAGCAGCAGTAGGAGATATTCCTCACTGTCCTCTCCCCACCCTGGAGAGCTGGCCTATTTAGGGGTGATGGGCTGCAAAGGCTCCGTGCATCTCCAATGTCACCTCTCTGTGCCGGGCGGTTAACCAGGTAGACACTGAATTGCATGGTGGCTTCACATCCTGAGGAGATCAGAACATCGAGCCTCAAAGTGAGAGAGGAAATTTGTGTGGGATTCTCGGGATCCTGGCGTGGATCAAATTTATCATTCGAGGCCTCTTTCACGTTCCAGATTCCCTCTCGCACATGTCTCAGATGTCTCGCGCGTCATGGCTGGCATGCTTTCAGCGTGTACTTAACTCAGTCTGCAAAACCAGAAAGCCAAATGGAGCCCAGTCCTACCCCACCTGTCCCAGCAGGGACTGGGCAGGGGCTGTAGAAGAGACTGGTCGGCCAGCAGAGGAGTTACGAGGGATGTAGAGGAAGCTCTTGTAACACTTGAAGAATTTTAGTTTGACTTCAGCCAGTGACGGTGTTCACAAGCATTTATTGATTCTAGATTCATTCTTGGAATACGCAAGGTTACTTCCCCTACCTCTTGATGATGTTCAGATCCCTCTATCTCTCGGGGGATGATTGCCCTCGAAATCCTGAGTGTGCTTTGTGTTACTACCGGTCTGGATTGCTTTCCTCTCTCACTCAGTGTGTCATGGCCTGAGCTCTGTGCTCTCTCACTCAGTGTGTCATGGCCTGAGCTCTGTGCTCTCTCACTCAGTGTGTCATGGTAAAACACTGCGTCTCCAGATGTTAACGGGTGTGCCGTGGAGTTTTGTGAAAGTCACAAATGAGAAAAATTTAAAAAATGAGTAAATGTTACGGATTTATCTAAAATTATTTGGGAGTCTACACGTGAGATAGAGGCTTCACTCTGTCCGTGACGATAACATGTGATACGAGGTAGGATTTTGTTGTTTGACAAATCTGAATGAGAACTGAGGTGCTATACCGTCCTCAATTCCTGCCAGACCTTGCGCACTGCAGTGAGTTTAGTTTATATTAATGACGTTGTGCAGGGCCGGCGCCGTGTGTGTGGGGATAGGGGCAGTCTTCCGTACAATTATTCGTTTATGGGAGTGTGTGGGATGGAAGAGATTGAGAAACACCTGAAAGACATCATTGCGATGAAATGGCTGTGTTATTCATCCTTATATGAAACATACTAATTATTTGAACGGCTGTTGTCGAAGTCACGGGGTTATTTCAGGAATTCGCTCCTCCTGCAGTACCATCAGCGCCCCCTGACTCTTGTCTGGTTTCCCCCGCGCAGCTGCTGGGGCTCCCCGATATCGATGACGATGCTTTCGAGGAGTACCACGCAGACGTGGAGGAGGGGGAGCCCGAGACGGACCACCAGCAGATGGGCGTCAGTCAGCAGTGAGGGAGCCGATGGCAGGGAGAGGAAGAGAGAGCCTTTGCCACAGAACCTCAGTGCTGCCCCCTACAGGAGAGCCAGCAAAACTCCACCTACATCTCCCTTTACTGCACACCAGCCAGGTTTACCCCGTAGTTTCATGTCAGCAGGCTTAATCCTCCAGCAGTCCGTGCCGACCTTGGCTTGTCCTTTTAGAACAGGGTGGGAAGAAGGTTATTGTCAGATGAACAGCTTATCAGTTGCATTTTCTTCTTTTTCTGAAAACGCCTTTGCTTTCTCTTACCGTGCCATCGCAGTGGCAGAGTACATAGTAAGTAGTGTATTTCAAGCCCTTTCGTTTTCAGCAACGTCTCCACTTAGAGTGGAGTTTCCCTTGAATTTCCTAAAGATGGTGAGAAGGCTTTGCCAGTCTTGCCAGTACGGTGCGTTATTACAGCTTAAATGCAAGAATTGTTATTTCTTAGGAGTAAGGCAATGACAGTACACTGAAAGGACACATTTGCTGTTGCCGAAGTGCAAAAATTCCACACAGATTAAAATGGAAGCCGTTTCCCCTCGTGATGCAGATTTAAGGTGAATTACAGCGGAATGTGTAGTGCGGAGAATCTTTGCTTCTTCTCAATTGAATAATGTGCAACACTTAAGGAAGAGGAGAGAGGAAGCTAACAAGAGGAAATCTGAAATGAAACATGTTATTACGATATTTTAAATATATCTAGAAAAAAAAATTATCTTAATTGTTCAATAAGCTTGGCAGAAACCCTGTGAAAATTAGAAAATTGTTTCCCAGACATATACAGTACAGTGTATGGCTATAATTTTCATTATTTAGACTTCAATGCTTTTATGTAATTAATTAGAACATGCATCTAAACTGATAGATGTCCATCTGATGGGTTTGATAAAGCTTTTATTATTTGCAAAATGTGTTTCAGAAGGACGTACCGTATTTGTAACAGTCTACTAGACATTCCTGCATTTTTAGCTGGGCTTCTGTCTTATGTTTAGCAGTATTACCAGATCTGCATTATTAAGTAGATATTCACACAGTTGAGTCCCACGTGTTTTGCTGCACAAAAAGCAGTGATTCTTCCTCTTGCATACTTAATCCCAAATAATAAAGTAAGAGCTGAAATATACAGAGCTAACTCTCTTGCTCTTTAAGCTTAGTTCTCATTTAAAAATATTCACAAATCAAGATTTCAGCGTTTTGCTTTTGTCTTCAGCAATAAGAGAGTTAGAAATGTATAAAGATGAGGTGTCATAAGCTACATGCAGCTCTGATTTCTATTAAACTTTGGTCCAAACTTAACACTTGTTGCGTCTTGATAATATGTCTTGCTAGTGATTCTTCCAATTTCTTGCAAAATTCGTGGCTGTGTTGCCTAAAACCTCCAGACAGGACAAAATCTCAGTGCATCTTCTGGAATTGTTTCTCAGTGTTTGGTATAATGAAGTGCAGTAGGTTGCAACTCTCAAATGGCACTTTGCATTTGAATTGTAATTTGCTGAGAAGCACTATCTGAACATTTTAAGTAGCACTTGACTCGGAGAGAATTATTATGCAGTGTGGAAGGCTACAGAGCAGTGGAACAAAGGGATACTTCTTGCCTCTGTTTCAAGTGAGCTGTGCTCCGTGAGTCTAGAGAACAGCAGCTTGACTAGCACAGAAACTGGAAAAGAGAGCACCTGTCCTTCTGCTGTCCACCTTAAAACGCATCCAGAAAAAGTTGCCCTCGTTGTATGGCAACCTGACTTTTTCCAGAGATGGACAATATTTCAGAAATGTCAAGCCTCCCAGTACTCTTGGTAAACCGCATATTAAAATATTTCTTTACCGTGGCGGCCTTGAAATGAAGATTACAACATGGAGTGATAAAATGATGAATTAAAATGTTTTACACTGAATAGAACTGATCATGGCCACTACAGGAAATTAAGCAAGTCTCTTGCACAACCCTGTATAGAGAAGAAGGCCTGTGTTTAGTAACAATTTACAAAAGTCCTAAACTTGAAGAAAAAAACCTTGGAGACTTGCATATCTGAAGTCCATTTCCATATTAATGGTTAGTATTTCTTATCAGGAGATACTAAATATTGTTCAGACTTAAACTCAAAGCCTTAAGTACTACGCCTAATGTTTTGCAGGTGATCAAAGACTTTGGAGTGAATTATATCAAGTGTTTTACACAAACATAGCTTAGTTAAAGAGACGGCTTTGAGTTTTTTTAATCTGCCTTTCCAAAATAATTCTTGCATTTGGGTTTACCTTCAACTGCAAATTTAAGCCTTAATGAATTAATGAATGAGAGTTGTGTCCCATTGAAGCTTTGTATCATGTTCAGCTGGGATTGGAAGAGGTCACAGATTTCTCCTGACCACTGCACTGTGTGGTTGGTCATCTCTGTCTCTTCAGACACTGAGACACATGTAATATACTAACACTAACACAAAAATGTTTTGTACTGGGATGACACGCTGCTGGTATTTCTGAGATAGTGAACAGAGGTCCCAGTTCCCGGTTATGTTTTCCAGTTGGTTTTATTTCATTAGTTGCCCAAGACAGCAGAACCCCCCTTGGTAGCAAACAGGTACTGTGCATTATCTAAAAATGCTGTGATGTGATTTGACTACTGCTTGGATGCAGAGGAACAACAAGGGGCAGCGTTTTGCAGGACAAAGGCACATCTTCTTGAACATTGCTGCTGAATAAGGAGACACATTATCTTTAGGGCCCCATCGATTAATTGGGGAGTCTGTGTGGAGCTTATATGTAAAATTATAGCATTTTAATGACAGCTTAAACTGTTTCTCTGATTGGGTTTTCACTAGTTTTAAGTGATCGTTAAATATTTGCTAAGACTTGAAACCAGAATCTACTATCATTCTTGTGGTCCCCCTGTTCAGTTATTCATAGGTCAGTTGTTTGTAAGCTATCAATCCGTTAATCAAGTAATGCTTGAAGGCTGAAGCGTGCTAAGAATCTGGCCCCAATCAGGTGGAACAGATCACCTGCTGGACTGATGCCCATTGAATTTCATCAGGGTGCCCAGCCAGGTGGTTCTGCACTTCTGAGAACAATAGTAAAAATCAATCTTGTAAATCAGGGGTCCCAGACTCTGTCTCAGGGGCCCAGTGTGCCCTGGTGTTTGTTCCAGTCACGTTTTCAGCTACATTCTTGAATTAGCTGTATAATTGTTGAAGGTCTCGCCAGGCTCTGAGGTGATTTGTAGGCAACTCTAACTGTAATGAGGTGAATGAGTTGTGTAACCAGCTGTAAAAGACCTCAACAACAATCCTGTGTGTGTCTAATTCTGGAAGCAATTAGGTTCATTTAACTGGCGGCTCAAGGTAAAACCAAAAACTAGAAGATTTCAGGCTCTCCAAGGACTGAGAGAGAGCCCCCCGGGTGGAAATAAACTGTGGTGTTTGTTCACGGCTTTAAAAATGGGTTTCCTTTTTCTCCATCTGGTGAGGTTGAGAGGTGCTCTGGGATGAATTGATTCTCTGATAATACAGGGTGGAAGAAGAAAACAAATGTGGTACAAACCTTAGTCAGGCCTTAACACTAAGACATCGGGACTAACTGACCCCTGACGTCCTGACTTTCTCATGCATGCCAGCTCGATGGGATAGGCCTGCGCGTCGGTGTGTATTTCTGAACGCAGGGCGACACTGCGGGTCTAAGCTGAGATCTGCCCTGTTGAGTTCGGCTGTTGAGATGTGTTCAGTTGCTGTGTGGCTCCTTGCTTCCATTCCAGTCCATTCACAGGCCGTGGGTATGTTGTGTGACCCTCTTGTGTTTTTATCTTCTGCTTCCTTTTGCTTGATTGAACCTGCCCCCCTGGTCTGGACCTGTACTGTATCTCTCGAGGCTTTTAAAGTGCTTTTAGGTCTGGCGTGAGATCAGGCCATTGCGTTTGACCACTTTTATTTCATTCATTGCTCAGGCACTGGATCTGCTTACTGCTTTTATGAACTTTATGAAGGTACACTATTTTTTTTTAATGATCTGATTTTTGTTTGCTTCTTTTAACGTGATATTCCCCTGTCTCTGTGCTTTGTTTTCTACTCTCACTGTAAATTCTGGTTTAAAATATATATATTGAAATCATGTCGGCTGTGTGTTTTCATTTGTGTTTGGTCCTTGTTTGACAGTTTTGGTGTTGCAGGATGGGCACTGTCTTTCAGAAACTAACCTGATACTGAGACTTGTTTTCTCAAACAACTTCTTAAGCACTGCTGGAAGACTGGAGAAGTGTTACACCAACTTTTTTGTGAACACGTTTCTATTTAAATTCTTTCAAAAACCAATACAATATTTCCCCGTCATAGCAATCAGGGTCACAGGTAATTGTTAGTGAAGAAAAGGCTCTGTGGCTCAGGATCTGCACCTGTGGCTGGAAGGATGTCGGTTCAAATCCCGCAGCCGGCAGAGGAATCCTATTCTGTTGGGCCCCTGAGCAAGGCCCTTCACCCCAGCTGCTCCAGGGGTGCCGTATAAATGGCTGACCCTGCGCTCTGACCCCAAGCTTCTCTCTCCCTGTCTGTGTGTCTCATGGAGAGCAAGCTGGGGTATGTGAAAAGACAAATTCCTAATACCTGAAATTGTATATGGTCCATAAAATGATCTTATCTCAAAAGACAATGCTTTATTTCTGAGCAGTGTGAGCTTGTATAATGTGCAGATTCGAAGGGGAGTCTGTCTGCAGACTGCATGGTGCAGACTACCTCTGCTGCAGGCAGTGAGTTCCAGCTCGTGTGCTGCAGTCAGGACGATGGGGTGATGTATGAAGATGTCTGCTGGTCCCTGGGGAAAGAAAACAAATTGCACAGGAAGAAGTGAATCTTTTCATTTTATCATTGTTCTCATATGTTGTTTTCTGGTACCAAACCTCTATAATACAGAAAACGATCCTGTTATTGTCTACGCCCTTTCCCAGACTGTTGGCTTGACCCTGAAAGTCTGAAAAGGCGGGTATGATGAACAGGGCTTTGATTGCACCCACTGCTGTTTGCCAGTTCTTTCCACTGGCCCCCTGGATTTGAGCAGTCAATATCTCCAACAAAACATCTTATAGTCGAGGCCTGCCGTGCTGTGAGGAAAGATCTCTCTAACCTGCATTGTATCCGACAGCATGTTTATCCTTCATCATATTTTGTTTTTATTTGATTTGGATTTGTTTAGAAAAGTGAAGTCCTTTGACAAAAAAAACAAACATTTGCAGTGCCCATGTCAAAGCGGAAAACCGGCTGTCTGATGGACTGTATTGGTCTAAACGGCAGCAAAGCTCTTCACACCAGCAGGCAGCTTGTTGTGGGAGCCTGGCTATTCAATAACAGTGCTGGGATCAGCACGAGTGCGTTCAGCTGGGCGGAACAGTACATGTATACAAAGTGCTGACAGTGCCGAGCTGCTGTTGACCAAACACAATTCTCTCACCGCTGGACTCAAGCAGGGCATCGGAAAACAAGTGTAGGAAAAACAACATCGGCATCGGTGAGCGGCTTGAAAGGGCATGAAACGCCAAACGTGCATCTCTCTGGGGGACAATAACATTTCCAACTGTTAAAAACGCATATTTTTACTTATTGATGACTTATCTTCCTGGAATTATCTAAATGATCAACAGGGTAATCCTACAGGTTCCCCAGGGGTTCCGTGCAGCTTGTCCGGTTCAGGATGTAGATCGTGCTCAAGTGTTTCCGGCTCTGCTCTCGGGGTGGAGTTTGGGAGGGGGTGTTGTAAGGGGGTGTCAGAAGGTGTGCTCTGTCGCCTGCTCTCTGACTACGACGGGGAATCTCGCACGCCACAGGCAGACGTCTCTAGACTGTCTAGGCCCAGCGAGTACTAACAACACGAGAAGAACGTTTTTTTTCTGCTATCCTGCAACCTTGGTAAAGCAACATTTTTTAACAGAAAACTATCAATATGAGACTAATTATAAAATGCCAGAAAAGGTAATTCAATTCGATTTAATTTTACTTAGCGCCTTTCACAACAAGGTTGCCCCAAGGCGCTTAACAAAGCAAGTGACCATACATCTTGTGAAGACGGGACAGAAAAGACCAGAAGACAACGGAGGAGAGGAACCAAAGACTCCTTAGTAAGGAGAAAAAAAACCTCTAGGGGTCCAAGGACAAAGACCCACAAAGTCCCAAAAAAAAGGATGTCATGTCCTAAAAAATACCGTACCCCTGAGATAACAAAGGGACTAAATTTAAAAAGATTTGAAAGTGAAAGGTACATAATGGCTGTCACTTAAGAGGGGAAATGCTGTACTGAAATGTAGAGGTTCTTCCTGAGAGCTGCCAGAACTCGTCGAAGCCCGTGTTCGTCCACGAGCTGTGTTCTGTTTTTCTTCGGGCGTGATTCGGTCTCTGCAGTTCGGTCCAGAGCGCTTTTTCTGACATATTGGTTCATGAATTTTGTAGTGGTGTCCTCCAGCTCTGACAGGAACAGATGGGAATTGCAAATATCTTGTTCTAGCATCTGCTTTGGTTAAAGTGTTTTTCTCTTTTCAGCCTGAAACCAAATGACTGTTTCCAGTCTTGCAGTACTTTCTAAAGGCTAGAGAATCCCTGCTGGCGCTGAGCACAGAGCTGAGACTGGTTAGAGATGATCATGGCCCTAGGTGAACAGTGGGATAGAGGCACAAGGTCCGAAGGTTTCGGATGAAATTGACCCTGCAGGATAACAGATAAAGCAGTAAAATCACTATCCACAAGCCCCACGTGCTGCAATCAGGCACAAAGGAGAAACAAGTTATAATCTTTCATCATCGTCAAAATGGAATTCACTTTTAAATTCCTAAATAAAACTAACCCACAGCTTCTTAGTAGCTTGTTCTTCAGTCTCAGTAAAATAGCAGCTACAGTGCAACTCAGTGAAGTCTCTCACCAAACTAAACGTACATGTGTTATTTTATACAGGACAAGGTACAGACATGACATTAGTTGAGAAGTCCATGGGTCATTAGGGAGTGAGGTATTCTGTGGGAAATGAAAACTCTTCTTGTTAGTAATGAAGAAACGAACATTACATTTCCTATTCTTACATATCTTTACACAATCAAAAACACTTATTTGTATTTTTTTTGCCTGTTGTAGTTGAGGTTTAAGGCTGCAGAGGGCACTATTTGACTGTTTGTATAAAGTGGTATAGCTTAAGTACCTGGTATAGAGAAATGAATCTATTGCGAAATTCAACATGTTTATGCTGATTGACTGTTAGCATGAAAGGTCACTAGAAGATAATCAATACATAATTTACAGGAACATTATATGATTTGAAATAACACTGGACCCTTACCAGGAATAACTGACTTTCTGATCGAGACGTGGTGGATTAAATCACACAGATTTCTGATTTCAAAGCTCAGAGCCTCTGCTTGCCCACTGTGGGGAAGATGTCTGTGTAGGACACTCAGTGGAGTGAGAGGTAAGTACGAGACTAAGAACTGTATAATTGTTGGCTTTTTAAATTTGTAAAACAACTGAGACCTTCAATCCCACCCTGGAGCTCTGTCCTGCTATTATCAAAGCATTGTACCAGACATCTGGTGTGACGTGAGGCCCATACACCTGCGTAGCTGGGGATGAGTGGTAGCTGGTATCATGGCCTTTGCGCACAGAAATAAGGATCTTTGTCACTTTTAAAGTTATCATCAAAAATTGCCGCTATCTAGAACACGATGAATCACAATCCCCAATAAAGAATTAGCCATTCATTAATATACAAAGAACCATTGCATCTTATACCGTCACCCTTTCTGAATTGCTAGCTTCTACGTGTTCTGTATTCGCTTGGCCCTCATGGATTCTCTGTTCCAGCTTGTTGTTATTTTCCAAGGTGACTCATCCACTCTGACAGAGTTTTTTTTCCTGTTTTTTTTTTTTTTCTGGGATAGCGAAGCCAAAGAGTGATTTCTGCAAAGAAGGAGAAAACAAGAGGCGCACAGGGGACATCAAGCAATGGATATAAATGAAAGAAGAATATGAAATCAGCAGAGGGCTGGTAAAGAATAATACCTTTCAGCTGTAGTTTTTCACGGTGGCCTGGTGCAGCGCTCTCAGGAATGCCTGACACATATTCTTCCAGTTTGTCGTTCCAGCACTTGTTACAGACTAGAAATCCTCACACCCTCACAGTGTACTCAGCACAGACCCCAGAGCTCTAAGGCAGACTGGAAATGGAGAGCAGGTAGATAGGGCACAACAATAGCAGCTCCAGTTTTCAGTTCTAACTGCCTGTCCATGTGCTTTCCCTGGTGTCTCACTGTTCACTCTGAAGAAATGGGCTTTGTCCCGGCCGTGGAGGATTTTGAATATTTGTAGCAGCAATCTTAGTTAAAGACTAAACTGGCCCAGTTCTTTCAGCCTGTCGGTGTAGGAGTTTCCCTTAAACCCCAGAAAGCACCTGGGTCCTCTTCTCCTGACCTATTTACAGAGCAGCATAATATTATCAATAAAGCAGCGGCCAAAACTGTGTACAGTATTCTTAACGAGACCTTACTAGTGCGTTAGTAAAGTAGTTATGCACTATAGCAGTACAACTCTAACAGCGACAATCCTAATACAGATTATTATGGTACTCCGCTAATTACATTGCCCCCCAGTGGAGTAATCACACGTCATATCTGTACTGTTCTCTAGTAATTAGCCAGTTCAAAACCTGAAAAATGTATTATGTTAGATAAACATGGTCTGCAATTTGCGAATTGCTCTTCAAACAACTTGGAAAAATCTGCACAGCCCGAAGTGTGTGCTCTGTGGGACTTGTCCACTTCCTTCAGCCTGTCAGTGTAGGACTTTAATTGAAGCCCCAGAATCCCTCGGGGTTCTCTTCTCTAGACTAATTCTAGACCAGAATCCCTTGATTCAAGTTCTACACTTTTAGCTATACTGTACATTGCAGCACTTTGTTTCCATGTGTCATTGCCTCCCCACATTGTCTGGAATTTGTACAGTAAGTGACCAGCTAAGTCTTTTTCATAAGCAGCCTCCTCTGGCTCAGCATTTGCTATGACATATTTACAGTTTATGTTTTCACAACCTGCAGGCATAACTAAGCAGCTGTTTACATTAAACATCATCTGCCAGGTGTTGGCCAAGTCTTGAATTTTATTTTATTTTTAAAAAATTTGATTTACTACTTCTACTGTGTTTTCTGATCCTCCTAGTTTGGTATCATCTGTAAATGTGGGCGAGTTTACTAACTATACTGGACCTGAATCTAGATATCAGTTAAGAAGATCAGTGTTTCTAGTACAGACCCTTGTGGTACGCCACTAATGACATAATTCATATCTATTGTGTATGATCTGTAATTGTCTGCAAGCCCACACTAAAAACCCACTACAAACTCACAGCTGCTGCAGTCAGTTGGAGGGGAGCTGCAGGACACTGACAGAAATGTAGCTGTCAGCTTCCTGCTGTACTTGACACAGTTGACATTTAAGGTCTCTTGAGCTCAGGCTGGTACAATTTTACACATCAGAAGAGCAGTGTCCCTATTGATAACACGCAGTGCCAGCCGAGATTCTGGAAACGTTCCTGCTCTTGAATTTGAAGGCTTTTTTCGAGAATAACAACACACCATCTTACTCTTTACCAACAACTCATACATTTCAGGATACAGGCCCTTTATCAATAGAATTGAGTCTGGGTGTCCCTGTTCAATGGATACTAAATTCAATTACTTTGTGATCAGAGTATAATCCCTGAAGCCCGATCACATCAGTCCTCTAGATCTCCTCAGAGAACATGGATTAAAAACTTGTAACTAGAACAGAGTATTCCATTCTATTGAGAGGTGGTAAGGAAGAACATTACCACCTCTTAACCAGTACCTTAAAACAATCTAAAACACTGATCCTTAAACCGTAAACCTTTTGAGGCATTTCATTAATAAATCAGTGCACCCACATCAAGAATATTTTTGCTGGAGTTATAAGTACCTTTTTTTTGTACAGCATGAAGAATTTTCCTTATTCATTGTTTTCATCGTTTGGAAATGAGTTTGGAATCAAAAGAACAGACTTTCTTTCAGTGTTCTTTCAATACAGTGTGAATTGCTGTCTGTAGGTTCACAATACTTTTCTGTTTTAAGCAAATACAGGAGATGGACAATGCTATATTGTTGCATTCAGTGTGCTCACAGCAATAATCATTTTTCACATTTGTGTCGGAACTTTGCGCTGTTTGAAGTCAGTGATAGCTGTTGCCCTTTCCTTATGCGGACTATATTTTTTAAAGCACAGTAAGGATCCTATCAATGTATAAATTCACAAACAATGTGTTTCCACACAAAATCCATACATGAATTACTGAAAAATGACTGAATGTGTTATTCTTATTAACATTAGTTATTGTTTGATTAATTCTTGTGTATTTTGTTCAGCTCTTCACAGTGCACATATTATAATGTGACTCTCTGTTGTTTCTACTTGTACAGGTATCCATGTAGAATTAAAACCCTGCTAAAACACAGTGCACATATTATAACAAAGGTCATACATATTATGCTACACAAGCCACATTATGTTTCTGTAAATGAACAGTTTTTCTCATAGCCCAGGTTCTTTACCCATGAATATCTTCATTCAAGGCTATAACTGCTAACCAGTAAGAAACCAGACAAGATTTCTCAAAACTGTTTATAAGAGAGAGAAGAGGGAGAGGAAGCAATGAAGAGCCTAGAGGAACACAACTAGTGGTGCACATTCCCCTGCAGCTCTCTAGACATACAGCCCTTCCTATTTCCTCAGTGTACAAAATAGATCTCAGTGTATTCTATTTTATTTAACTTTATGTAACCAAAAAGGAATACACAAAATACTGTGAAACAAGTCACACCAACAACTAACTGCAAACCCTAAACAGTGAGTGAAATTACAGTCAAGAACCAATGCCCCAGGAGAGCTCTGAGACATGCGTCAAAATTGAACCTCGTGCCACAGGCAAATTGTTTCTATGCTTCTGCTTTGTGCAAGAGAAGGCCCATAGAGACTTCATGAGTGCGACTCAGTCGTTGCTGCATTCAGCAAAACATCGCTCAAACTTCATCTGCGATTCCTACAGGCTGTAGGTGCTCCACTCTTTAAAAAGGCAGCAATCAAAAGGAAAGCCTCTCAGACGCATGCTCCCATTTTAATTGATTCAGTTTTAATTCATGGGAAGTTTCCGTGCTGCTCACATCTGCTTACTTGCTTGTGCTGGAATATAATGTAACTACTGTATATGGAATATCTTAAAATTAACTAACCATGTTTTATTGTTTAATGACACAATGAGAACAAAACTGACTCATGTTTGTGTGGTTTAAACAATACACATTTTCAAATTCAAATGTTATGGTTGTTGGTTACAATTATTAAGGGGTTTACTGTTAAATACGGGTTAAATTCATCTTTCAAACTACTTCCCCAGTGACACAGATCGGTCCCCACCAGCCTGCCCATCTGCAGACTTGAAAGTGTGTCTTATTGAAGAGAGTCTGATTTCATGGCTTAGTGACCTGAGATTCTCAGAGATATGGTTCCTGACCTGTTGCTTCTGTCTGTCTCGAACTTACTGTATGTTATTTTCAAGAGGTGACAGACAGCAAGCTTTGTGCTGAGAAGAAATGAAGAGGCTGTAGTTTGTAAAAGGTGGCTTACGTCATTTTCATTTGTGCCTGTTTTGTGTAAACAAAAGACCTTTTGTTAACTTTTCCTCCACGTAATGGCTTAACAGATCGTCTCAGCTAGTTCAAACTGCTCTGTGACATGCTCTAAGGCTTCCTGCTGCATGTTGTGCATGAAACAGTACCGGCCAGTACCGTAACTTGGCAGCTAAAAAGCGTAAGATAAGGGTCCTTTTTTCCACGGGGCCACCTGGCGAGAGGGGCAGCTCATTCCCGTCCGTGGGGCGCGACAGATACAGCAGCCCCGCCCCCGGATCACGCGTGTCCCCAGCCCGGTGCCATGGCAGCGGTGGCCGGCGGTTTCCGGGTGGGCAGTGCCCCGGCGGTGCCGACGTCGCCTGACGCACAAAGGGCAGGGCCGCCGCGTCCTCTCCCTCCCTCCATGACCGTCTCTGCTCTCGGTCCTCCCGCCTCCCTCGTCACCCCACCCCACCCCTCTCTCTCTGTGCGTGCGTGTGTGTGTGTGTATCGGCGGCCGCCTCTCCGGCTCCCTTCCCCGGCGAGGCAGACGAGGCATGGCGGCGGAGACGGGCACGGCAGCCAGCGCCAACTCCAGCACAGCAGCGAGCAGCGGGGGCCGGGCGGCCCGGAGCGCACACGCACGGTGTCGGGGAATAATCGCCGTGGCACATTTCTTTTGAACATTTCTTCTTGGGGTTTTTTTTTCCCCCCTTCGTTGTCGCCGTTGTTGTATGATGCTCTTGTTTTGACATATCCCGGCAGGGGGGTGTTTCTTACCTGACGTTTTTCCTCCCCCTTTTTGTTTTAATTTCACCATCAGCCAACAACCCCCTCCACCGGCCCCCTTAACTCCTGGCGGTGCCAGGCAGCCTCGGGGGTTGTTGTTATTGTGTTTTTCTCCTTTTTTTTGTGTGGTGTTACTATTACCATTTCCCTCACTGCCTTGCCCGGGCTCTGGATTGCTCTCCCGGCGCACACAGCCGGGGGGGAACTCCTCTCAGTTGGCTGGACAGCTTGTGAGTGCCCCCTCCCTCCCCTGCAACACCTCCGCTCAAGACTTCATCATCAGTCCCCGGGCTGGACTGGTAGCTGACAGATGGGAGCGAAACAGAGCAGCCCGGCGGCCAACGGGCGGACCAGGGCTTACTCGGGCTCGGATTTGCCCTCGGGCACCTCGGCCGGGCCCGGGCACGGCAGGACGCCGGCGCTGAGGTACGGTTACGAGCCCGCCTCCGCACACGGGGCCTCGGGAGCCGCCGCCGCCGCGGCTCAGCCGCTCGGCCCCAGGACGAGGTCGGTGGGCGGCGGCGGAGCGGGGTCAGGGACCGGGAGCAGGCCCCAGTCGCTGAACCAAGCCGGCCTGAACATCCCCAGCAGCGGCTCCCAGGAGTCCGGCAGCAGCACCCCGGAGGACGGCGGCACCGGCGGCGGTCACGGCGCGCCGCGGCTGCTCATCGGCTCGCTGCCGTCTCACCTTTCGCCGCATCTCTTCGGAGGTAAGAGCAGAGCCGGGTTGTGTCTCGACAGCAACACATTTCCACCGGAGTCTGCCTGCCTGCCTGTGTGTGTGTGTGTAGCGCCTCAGTACCAGCTGCACTTGTGCAACGTGTTGTTTGTTTTATACCGTGCGTAACTGCGCAGGGAAAACTGTTGGTGAACTGGAAGTTAGTGCGCATAGTGTTTCGCGTACGAACTTGACCTTTAGTTTTACTCCACAGTTTTATCAGCTGGCCTGGGCCTGTGTGTGGGGGGGTTATGTCAACAGTGCACGAATTATTGCGAGCTGGGGGGGGGGGCACCCAACTGGAAATTTCTGGTTGATATTGGATTGATAAGGGAGCGGACAAAAAAAAAACCTGTTCACTTCTGAGGGCTGAGATTGATCATGCGTCCCGGTGGTTGGTTGTCTTCAAAGACAACAGCGAACACGCACAAACACCCAACATCAAAACGGTGTTGGTTTCCCCACCAGGTGTGTAGCTTAGCCCCCTTCAGCCCCGGCCGTAAAAAAAAAGGGAGGTCGTGCCTTTCATCTTCTGTCATTCCTCTCGAAAGGACGCGACCTCGAGCAAAACCGCACGGCTCCTGTTTTGATCAAACTCGAGAGCCCTGAGCCCCCTGTCACAATAAACAGGCACACCCCCTCCTGCTCTGATCGGGAAGGAGCCAGCTGAGACGGAGCAGAAAGCTGGTGGGCGTGAGGAAACTCGTGTGCATCAGGTGGGGGGGTTGACGGCCGTGTGGAAAGTACCGTCTTCGGCTGGAGCAGGAGTCCCAGACTGAAACTGGTTGACAGCCGATTTCCAGCAAGACTGGAAGCAGGAGCGGGTGGGTGGGTGCTGGTGGTGGTTTCTGTAAGTTGGCCCTGTTGCCAGTCTGCGTGCCCGACCTGCGTCCCCACAGATGTGGGTTTGTGCAAGGAGATGGGGTTTGCTCCCAGACACACGCAGGGGGGGTCGACGTGCTAGCTGGAACTGCCCTTTTCCAGGGGAGATTCCCAGGGATTTCCTACTGTGCCGGCTGTGGGGGTGTCGAAAAAAAAGATTGCGATGAGCCATGTGGTTTGCTTTCCTCTGTGTCCGTGCTGTTGTTCTGAATGTGTAACATAGTAGTCGCGGAAGAAATCTATCTTTAAGTTGAGGTTGCAACATAATTACGATCCAGAGAAAGTTGTTTATACTGCCCTAAGCCAGAGTTTAATTATTGGCACCGTTTACTTCTGGGTTTAATATTGTGAGATATGATATGTGGCGTTACACCATTCGTGTGATTCGGAATTAGTTTTATTTGATCGTTTATTAAACGTTTACAAAGGGAAGAGTCTTTCAAATGACAGCTGATCCACAGCCCTCAGTAAAGAATTGGTATCAGACGTTGCGTTAAGCCTACAGGAGCTGACAGCATATTTGGAAGTAGTCATCCTCCTATAGGAGTTTCATAGACTTAAAACGTCAAAATGCAACAATAGTGATGAGATACATTATTACTGATATGCATTTTTAATGCTCCTTGTGGGTAACCCATTACGAGAAAGTTGTATTATTTTGAATTGATTTAACGTGCATTGCATTTTTATTTAGAGTAAATTTCTTTCAGTTGTTACGGGATTATAAAAGGATTCCAAATTGAGTAAAGGTTTTGGTGATTTCCTTCAAAATGTGACTAAAGCACGCAAATGAATGCAGCAATTTAAAATATGGCCAGGTAACTTTGATTTATCTGTCTGATTGGTGTTCGGTGCCTGGCATTAGTTTGGTCTTGGAGTTGAGCAGATTACTTCAAAAAGGCTTTAAAAGAATGTAATTCCTCTCGGTTTCTAAATAGTCAGATTCATGCGCTAAAGGATTACTCTCAAGTGGGATATATAACCCAGTGTCACCCAGACAATAAAAAAAATCAGTGTGCACATTATGCGAAACATGGTCTGCGAATGCTTGTTTTTGTCTTCATCAGCCTTTTCTCGCTGTCAGCATCGTAGGGCTCTAGAGCAGTTAAGTGCTCTTCTCCTCACCTTGCAACCCAATTTTCAGGCACCCCATCTACCCATGCAGGAAGGGTATAGAATTGAAACCTGTAATTTCTGCATCGTCAGATCTAATTTGAACAGAATCTCATGTTCCCTGGCCCGCTGGTCAGACATGTGGAAACATGTCGGGAGAATCTCGGTGAATTCAAGCCAGACGTCTGGTACGGAGTTCTGTTCAGAGTGCCGTCGTTACTGGCTGGTCCTGCTGTGAGGAGGAAAGAAAGGTGACAGTTTTACTCGAGTCATGAAAGTGAGGGAAAATGTTGAACTGCGAGAAAACGTCTTTCTTTGGTACCGAAAGTGTTATTTCCGTGCAAGTCAGAAACGCCGTGAGCGCCCCCGTCGGTCTCGCTGGAGTTTGAATTTGGTCTCCCTGTTGATGTGTTTCTCATACAGCACCTCTGACCTGCCCGGTGATACAGGTGGAAGAGCCACATATATCAGCAGCAGGTTTAGTTGCTGAGGGAATTGCATGCAGCAGGTCTGAGTAAACAGAAACCATTATGGTTGCTTGGTAATATGGGTGTCCCTTTGGGTCTGGGACTAAGTACGTGTTTAAATATGAACTTTGAGTTGCATTAACAGAAGGGCTTCTTATTGTTGGGACAGTGCTGTGTTGTAAGTTACAGTGCAACGCTTGAGTGAAAAAGCTGCAATTCAGTGTTTCCCCACCGAAGACAAGTATTCATCCAGGCTTTCATAGAAAACCGTGCGTCTAAATGGGAACAAATCAATCTAATGTGTTAATCGCAGTTTTGGCCCGATTTCCTCCGAAGGGATTTGCAGAAATCCAGTAATATAACGTTGGCCGGATCATGTTTGTTCGGAATATTTTCATTTGCTTCTAAAGGGTAAAAGAAAAGCCTGGGGCAGAGGGTTCCCCTCTGTTTTTGATAGAATTTGGTTTTCTTTGGGTAATTTTGTGCATTAATATGGACATCTAAATCCATCTTGTTTGCGAGCTGTAATTCCATACGTGCACACGAGTGTAATTAATGGGCCTGCCTGATGATGAATGATCACTGATACGTGCTCCCCTGCAAACCGCACAGACTCTGCCAGCTTCTGACAGGTTCTCTAAGCTGCTGTGCTGGAGTGCCCTTCTGAAGTTGCTCTTGACTTGTTCTTGAGAGTTGCTTGTGGCTTTGTCATGGTGCCAGTGTGTTTCACTATAAACATGCGTACGGTTCACGCTTGTTTAAGCACACATCATGCACACGCTGAGTTTAATCAACTTGGTCTTCTTAATATGCATTTACAAATGCATGTGTGTTTATTGCACTGTGTAAATGTGTGTGTTTCAGTCAAATGTATGGTGTGCACATTTTTTAAATTCTCAGAAGAAAGGGATACAGTGTAAAATTAAAAAAACTAAATAGTTGCTTGTTGAAAAGGTTCTCGTTTCTGGTACCAAGACCATGCAATACCGCCTGGCAGATGGAAAGCTTGTTTGTCTATATACCATTCATGACCTTCATCCAGAGCCAACTGGAAATAGACTGGGTCACAAAGAGAAAGAACTGTTTTTGAAACAAATGAGAGCCTTTACATCCAAAGCATACGGAGGTTCTTGAGAGAGAGTGTAACCAGGTCAATATTAAAGCTGTGCAGCAGATATTGGATTAGATCAGAGCTGGCTTTGCAGAGATTGGAATATGAAAAAGAGAGAGGTTAGTTTTATTAGAAAAGTTGCAGATATAAAAGTTGTTTCATATTTGTGGTGTATTCATTCAAGAAAGTTTATTGAAAGTCATGTTGGATTACCCTTTCATATTGGTATATTAATTCAGAATTCCAATAAAGTCTCCATCATTGTATAATTGTGTATAATTTTCTCACCCTTGTATACAAAGTTTCTCATAGCTGTGTCCAGATTAGTATTTTGAAACATTATAAGATAAAGGGTACAAGTTTTTTGAAATGTCTTGTCCCTATCGGTGCTGATAATATTTATGTTTTTCATCAGGTTATGTTAACCAAGTCCACACTCCATACGGTCTGTCGTCTTGTGTGCACACCAGTCTAATTCCTCCCTTTATGTGGAGTACAGTGTAATAAAACCCAGCTGAAGCAGACGTTTCTGCAGGCAGTATACGTGTTGTGTTTTTGCAAGTCTCATGTACGAAGACGGGCTGCCTGTGGTGTTAGTGTTTCATCCTTAACAAAACGTTGAGTATTTTGTAATGATGTGATTCAGTTGCTGAAGGATGTGGTTGTAAACGTCTGTATTTATCAGGGGCTGACTGTAATATTCTGCAACTTAGTGGTGCCTGATAAGACTTCTTATACCATGTGTTAATCATAATGCTTTGAATCTTAATGTTTGCTGTGTCTGTAAAATACCCATTATAATAAAGATAAGAGCAGTTAAGGAAACTCCAATATTTGTGTATTCATTAAAATGCCTGTAGCGCAAAAAAAAGCTACACTTAGCGTGTTACAATAAGGAAAGAAAACTGAAAGACCTGTGAATTCTCACTGGTTGTACTTCAGTGAAGCAGTATTGTGTTTTACTGTGCATGTGACACAGCAGAGTCTTGAACCAGTCTGGCCTGTGGAGCATAAGCAACAGATGAAACTTTATCCTTAACCAAAGATCAGCAGGCTGTTGCCCTTTTGGACAGAAGCCAGTTTCAAAGCAGCTGAAATGACTACCTCATGTGCAAGACGGGCCTGCCTGAGTTCACATCAATACACTTTTATTTGTAAATAGCAGGTTTCCTGGTGGAGTTTTAGACTTCTTGCACTATTAGGTTCCTAAGACGGATGCCACAGTTTAAGCTCGCATGAGAATAGGTGGGATTTTAACATGCCAAAAACTGAACACTTTGATTTTTTCAGAGATTGTTTTTCCTTTAATTAATTGAAAAATTGATTTTTTAAATTATTTCTTTACTTCCAAACTTTTTCCCTCGCCCACAACTTTAGAGTTTCTTTGACTTTTTTTCCCCCTAAGTGTAACAGCACATTTACTGTTACCCTATTGTAAATTTCTGCCCTGGATTGTTTCCAACTTGTGAGAGCTGAACAGTTCATACTCTGTCACCATAGTGCGAATACACCAGTCATCATCAGCCAGCCAGAGTCTTAACTGTAACCAAGCCACATCATACTGGGGCTCCAGACAAGTCTCTACCACCTACTACTCCTAACAGCTATAAAATTAAGGAGGCTCTTCAAGTATTGAAACTGTCTTGTGGGGCTGATCGGTTCTGGCTTTGTGTCAGTGCTTTACAATGTGAGATTCTGTGTTACTATTGGCAGATTTTACTGTAACACGTTTTATTCTCTGGGAAACTTAAAACGTCAAGTTGCAAAAAAACATAGTTTTGTTATTGTATTGCAGTATTCAGTTGAAAAAGAAGGCTCACTTTTAGCAGTTTTCTTTCTTTCTGTAAATAACTGTATGTTAACACCTCTTGGGTAATGTGCATCTGAAGTAAAGAAGGTGCATGTCGTTTCTTCAGCTGCCTGATGTGTACATTGATGTTTAGGCCTCTGTACTTGAAGGCAGCGTCACTGTAATAGATGACTGAAGAAAGCTCTTGATGTAGAAGTAGCTGTTCGTACAAGGAAGGAGAACTTTTTTTGTTGACATTGTACTGTTTATGATTAGTATGCCTTTGAACTTTAAACCTGTTAGATGAGAGATTTTTCAAAACAGTCGAATCTTTGAGTCAGGTCAGGCGTTCA